ACTGACATTCTTATAGCTTGACAAAAATTAAGCATAATTAAAATGAGATATTTGTGGCATAAATTAAACTGCAATTAATATGTTTTCTGCCAGCGCTTGAAGGATACGATTAAAATGGTGTTGTTAGCAGACTCCCTGCTGGGAGACTAATTTCTTGATTTTTATACCAAACATTATCATACATATTTTCACAGCGAAGGAATAAACCAACAAGTAGAAAACAACGTTTGATGACAATGATAGGCAACAGAGAAAAGACAGACTTTCATGAAGGCAAAGCAATATTACTGTTCATTTTAAGGTCTGATGACTAGTCATTTCCAAGGGTAAGATTCACCCTTTTAAAGCCAATAAAATAAGTAGAAAATTGTCCTTCACTTTAGTTAGCTATGCCTTAAAGAATATATCCAAGGAAAAGAGAGAGAAAACACAACCTCCCCCAGCTATGCCTTTTAAATTATCCAGGGTTTTGTTCCAGGATCTTTGCTTCTTCAGGAGGGAATTAGAAAAAGAACAAGATATGTTATGCCAAGGCCTCCCCTCCAGCCAACCAACAAATTATAATAAATCCCATCCCAAAATCTTAGATGTTGCGAGAAGAGTGAAGGACTTGGCATTGTGTCAGAGCCTCTGTTACGGGAAGCCTGCTTTTTCTCCCAGGACCCCCGATCTCGGGAAGCAAACCCAGCCTGGACAAGGATGCTTTCTGCTGTCTGAATGAGGAGAGCCCCTCAGCTGCTGCTCGCCCAGAGCAAGGCTGCAAGTGCTGGATCTGTGCGGACCTTTTTTCTGGCTAATCCCGTTTTGCCATTAGATATCGTTTGTGGTACCCGTGAAAAGAGGACCACTATTAACAGCCCTCTTTCTTTCTCCAAATGTCTCTCTTGGGCCATTTTGCTTAAAGGATGTGAAAGCCCTGGTGGGAATGAGAGATTATGGGGTAGACCCCATCACTCGCTGGACCTCCTCCTCCTTGGCCGGGATGGTGTCCCTGCACAAGTGTGGTAACCGTGACATTAGGGTATGGCAATGCCTGTTAAAGAAGTAAAATGAATGGAGCGCTATTCACAGACGGGCCACCGTGGCCCATTCATGCTTCCTATGGAAGAAGGACAATGCTTCTTACTTGATGCCTCCCTGAGTCCTCACTGCGAGAGCCAAATGCATTAACAGGGTCCAGATATAGGAAAAGGTTTGCCCTCCAAAAATTTTAGAGCAGATAAGTCGATCATTTTGGGGGGTAAAGTCAAGGGTTTTTGGTTACTTGAAGTGGCATGAGCGGTTCCGTGACAAAGCCATTGGCTGTAGTTACGGCTGTGGTTTGTATGGTGACATTCTCACCGGAGTCAAGTCAGTGTCCACATCACCTTGCAGCAGCCCCTCCTGACCACCTGGTCAGAAATTGCAAGCCTTTTCCCAGATTCCCTCAGCCCTTCCCCTCTACCCTGTTTGATTTTTCTTCATAACACTTATGATTATTGGACATTCATTTGCTTATTGTCTGTCTCTGCTCACTGGTAATTTAATTTCCATGAAGACAGTTTTCACCTAAATTATTTATTGCTGTATCCTAAAACAGTGCTTGGCATAAGCAGGCACTCAATTAATACTTTCAGGGAGGGAGGGAGGGAGAGAGGAAGATTAAAAACCAGTTCTTTAAAATGCACAGAAAGATATTAAATATGATAATTCCTGATGATAAAATGAAATTCTACATTTAGTATAGGGTTATGAGAATTCTGTTTATTAAAGCTTCATATATACTTTATCGTATTTTAGAGAAACCTGTGTCTCATAAAATGAAAATTTTAGGTTATTATCAATATCTAGTTGGTGTTCACAGAGTTATTTACTACCTACCCTGTAAAGAGTAGCAAACAGTATTTTGAATCTGTTAGTTCATTTCATGTATCCATGTTCTCGTTCATTCATTGGTCTGTTCAGTGTCGCTTGTGCCCTAAGGGGCGGATGCCTGCAGTTACCTGGTAGAATGTCCCAGCTTATGCAACAGCAGGTCGTGATCTCTCTTGAGTGGGCACGCCACTGACTCTCGTGTTTGCAGTAGTCCATCTTCTCTGTTGTCCCTGTGAACACTGACTTAGTGCCTGCTGACCATCGCTCCTACGGGAAATGTAGGCTAGGGTTCCTGCAAGCTTCTGGTCTGCTAATCAATACATAACATTGTTTTGTGTGTGTTTGTCTTTAAAGACTCTTCATTTAATATGGACCACTGATTAACACTGACTTTGTGGTTGACAGCACATTAACCCCTGCCCAAAGGAACCCTGTGTAACACGTGCACATTCTTTCGGAGGCGCATGGCAGCCTTCTTCCACTTGGGAGCACCAGACAGCACTTCAGCACTGTGCTTGGGGCCCATGTTAAACAGTGAAGTCACCCACACAGGGAACCCAAGTGCGAAAAGCGTGGCACTAGCTAGGGCCGAGAAAGCAGGCCTCACTGGCTGGAAATGTGTGTGTCAGGTGACCCAATGTTTGCCACTCTCCTCATATCTATAAATGACTGTGCAAGCTCTGTGAGTATTGATTTGGGGATTACAAGTACATCTTAGCAAGTAGGTGAACTTGCACATGAGAAATCTGAGTAATGAGCGTCAGTGGTAACATCTCTATGTCTAGATCTGTTCCTTTGATATTTCTTTATGTCTCCCTGTTATGACAATGGCAGCAAGACCTAAACACCGTGCTATGATGAGTTTACCTGTTTGGCCTGCTACTTCCCACCTGTGTGTTTGCAGCCAAGGCTGTGAGGATGGAGGAGGAACAGGAGCTAAGTAAGAGAAAGACAGATGAAGCCAGTCGGAAGAAAGATATATAAAAATGTAAAGAAAATCAATAGAAACTTATATATAACTTTGGAATTTAGATGTACTCACACTGAATAAAAGTGGGAACGTGTATACCGAAGCCTTAAATAACCAGACACACACGCAGCTGCCACCCCAGAGTAATCTTACACTTAGCAGCCAGCGGCCCAGGAAATGTGCTATTCATTGTTTTAGTTTGGGTGTGAAAGCTGCATTCCAGCTCCAAGAGCCTCGCAAAGACTCCTAAACTGCCCCAAGGAGCCCATTTGGACAGTGGGTTATTTCTGTTTGGCTCGCAGCAGACCCGAGGGCTCTGGCAGCAGGGGCTCCGGCAGGACTCAGAATCACCATCCTCAGTGTTCTGTCCTCATGAGGTTATTTTTCAGAAAAGCAACCCCCAGCCTCATTCGAAAAGTGGCACTGTAGGCAGGCCCTAACGGAGCTTCTCTTGGGCCCATCAGCAGCCCCCGAAGGCAGGGCAGCCTGTCTTCTGGGTGAGAGGCAAATTTCACACCAATGAGAGCCAGCTCTGGGTACTTTCTGAAGCAGAAGCTGTCCTTATGGCGTGTCACCTCTTGCTGTATTGGAGTAACAGTTACTGGTTGAATGTGAGATTTTAAATTGAAAAGTAAGAGTGACAACCAACTTCTGATTCTCTCTGAGGGACTGCAGAATCAACCCTTGTTTATGAACACAACTGTATACATGCCTATTGCCTGACTCTCTCAAGTCGTGGAAGGCAGGGAGAAGTTTCAGTTACTAAAATTAGTTGAAAGCTGACTAGTGTAGTCCTGACACGCAGTAGGTGCTTTAATGTTAATGGAACACACAGATCCAAGTGTAACAGAGTTCAGGGATGCTTTGTTCATTATCATGGAGGAGTTCAGAATTAAGTACACAAGAAGATCCATAGGAATATAGATAGAAAATATCAGAATTGCCTTTTATTTTTACCTCATTCATCTGTTTAACATTCCACTCTACTACCACAGCATTATACATCTAGAATTTAGCACAAATAACTAGGCAGACATGAGGGTGCCTACTCAAAATATTTTTATTGATGGCATATGTGATAGAAATCCTTCAAGTCTTGTTTCTCTGCATGAATTCACTGTAATTAGTCTCCCATTGGTGCCAATGAAATTTATGGAGTTTGGTTTTTGAAAGAACATGGTGGGTAGAATATGAATAGACCGTTACCACTGAAGGGGAGAGGGGGGAAAATACAAGCACCAACTGCCAGGCATCTTCCTGTCTCACCCTCACAACCACCCTGTGGTTCATAGATGACAAAAGCAAGTGAGTTAGGCAATAGTTCCTACAGGAAGCTTCTGGAAATGTACCATTTCTTCCTTGTGGGGTAGAGTTCACCAGAAATAATCTAGGGCTGTTTGGGAAGGTTATTAATTATTGGTTTGGTTTTTAAAATAGATACAGGTCAATTCAGATGAGTTGTGTCTCCTTGGGTGAGTTTTGGTAGATTGTGTCTTTTGGAGGAATTGGTCCATTTCACCTTAGTTATCAAATTTGTGGTCAACTGTTCATAATACCTCTGTATTTATCCTTTTGATGTCTGTGATATCAGAAGGGATCACCCATCTCTCTGAGTGATTATTAGCCATTTGTGTCTTCTCTCTTTTCTCTTACTAGCCAGTAGCTTGGGTAGGTCTTCATTACTCTTATTGAGCTTTTCAAAGGACAAGCTTTGGTATTGTTGGTTTTCGCTCTTCTCTGGTACAATTTCATGATCTTTGCTCCAATTTTATTGTCTTTTTCCTGCTCACTTTTTTCTAGTTTCTAAAGTGGAAGCTTAAGTTATTGATTTTAGATCTTTCTTTTTTTCTACTATATGTATTCAGTGCATTTACAATACATGCAATTGGGATATATTTTTATCCAAAGTAAATGTAAAAAAACAAACATCGAAATGCATATTTTAAAAATAGGTTATTTTACATATTAAAAATGATCTATTATATTAAAATAAAAACTAAATATAATGAATACCTCTCAAAAAGTTTAAACTAAGGTCATTTAAATAAAACTAACCATTCTATTTTCTTTTTGAAAAAATTAAGCTAACTACTGTTATATATATTTAAAACCAGTAATAATAATAATACAGCATCAGTAACAGCTCTGCGGTAACCTTTGCTCTACTTCCCTCTAGGACTTCCAAACCGTATTACCATCATTCGATCTCTTCTCCACATATGGAAAATCATATTCAAAAGCTGGACAAATTTTATAAAGGTACGCATTTTTTTATAAGTACTTCACAGAGTATTTTAAGCAACAAAAACATGAAATGGGATTCACTTGACTCGTTTTAAAAGCCATGTTACAATATCGATGCATCACCAAAGCAGACGCTTCTTTCGCTCTAGTCTAGTGGTTCGTAATACTTGAAAGTCACGGGCTTTGTTTTCCAAATCTCCTAAATGGACTCAAGAATATGTTAAATAGAACTAACAAAAATCTGAAGTACCTTTTCTTCATAGTAACTCATGTAATAAATCAGTAGTTTACACAATACAATGATAAAATATTCATGGTGTCCAAAAGCCAAAGCATTTCTCAATACTGCATTGATACAGTTAGGTTAAAATACTATATTCAAAATACGTGTTATTTGAAATTTATTTATTTAGGGTCTCTGATCACCCAAGTCTACAGTGTAGAGAAGAAAGAAAAAGACCTATGTAAAATTCAAGATCACAGAATAAGCTCTCACTGAATTCTGTATGTTATTGCAAAGGTGTTTAAAACTAGAGGCGTGGTTCTAATCAGAGTGAGACTTTTGGGAAGTACTCTGGCATTTTCAGTCAAATTAGAGGAGGGGTGGGATGGGAACAGCACAGAAGACTACGGCGAGGAAAGGGGCAGAAATGAGGAATCGTGCCTGTGAGGATGGTACCCTTCCACCCCCAGAGCCAAGGGCGTGCTCTGGGCCCTGGGAAGGCGGAGCAGGGTGAAGCAGCGTCTGTTCCTTAGACTCAGCCTCGGTGCCTCCTCTCCCTTGCCTATGACTATGGATGCGTGGATGCTGGAGTCAGCATGTTAAATACAGACGCCACTATCTACCTTCCAGGGACTCCAAAGGAGTACAGGAAGGGAAACGTGAAACATTCCTATATAGTGCCAAGTGGAATTGCAGTTTCGGAGGTTTATAAAGTATCACCACCCATTGGAGCATTGATTTGGTATTTTTCACTCCAAATGCAACCGTCTGAGTAAAATCTTTCATATTCGTGTGTGACTTAGATTTTTAATTCCAAGGTATATTTTGGTTGTAATGTAGAATGGTTGAAAACAAATTATACTCCATAATACAGGGCAGGGCAAATGTAGGTTTACCATGGTCCATACAGAAAAAATATATAATGTAATAATTAATATATGATTACATCAGAATAAACTCTGTGTTTTACATATTCACAACTGTAACCCCATTGTGCCCCACCCTGTGTATGCTAAGTTAAATAAATGATGAGACATAGATCCTTAATTTGAAAAAAATAATGTTTTTGTAAGGAAAGAAGGCAAGGACCTGTGTAGTTTAATTTCAGTAAAGTGTGCACAAACACAAACATTATATAATGTGTTCGCTTTTATAAAGAACACTTGCATGAACTTCTATGGGACATATACGCATACATTTGTACATTGCAAAAATACGAATGATAGTTATCACTGGGTAGTAAGATTATGAAAACCTCTTTGGGAGATATGTCTTTGTATTCTTATTTTTTGAAACTTTTATTTAATCAGACAAAAGCAGAGTGATAAAACAAAGTACCCCAATAGGAATTACTTGCTCTTCTCTACCAATTATGAAAACAGCTTGAGTTTATGCTAGTCAATCATAATAATTTACAGACAATTATCTTCTTTTCCAAAGACAAAATAATCACTTGCTAAATTATTTATAAGAAAGATGAGGATGAGTAACACATGTTTCACATTACTTTTAATTTAAAAGAGCGCACAGTGAGCAAATACAAATCTGGGGTGGGAATTTTTTTTTAACGCTTAGTAACTCTGCTTTCGGATTTTAACTGTTTTTGTGAATTGAAAACATCATCAAAATGTCACGTTCTCGTCTTAGAAAGGACCTGATTGTCTCGTGTTTAATTTTGGTAAGTGAAGGGCAGCAGCCTTCCCTGAAGCTCTCCTATTAGGATTAAATTTCACCAAATATGACAAAGTGTCTGCACTCCTTGGAAAGAAGGCCAGGACAGGGCCAGAAGCGCCACAGTGTTGACGAAAGACACCGCGGTGATTTTTAGAGCTATCTATTTGATTGCTTCAGCTTCACGGCAGTCCATCACTTGGCGATAATTCACCCACACTGCGTTTTCCCATCAGTCTGATTAGAAACAGTGATGCCTTTATCAGATTAATCTTCCTTCCCTTTAGCGCGTCTCAGTTTAGGATAAACAGGGCTCGCATCTACCCATTTGATTAATCTACTAAGATTCCAGCTGCTGAAACTGCTCAGAATGAACTCAATTTTAAACACATACATATTTTTAAATCTGCTCTCTGACCAGGACAGTCGGACTCCTTTTAATTTTTTGAATGCTTCTGTATGACTCGTCACTTTGGTGGGCTTGGAGAGTTTCCCATTGGCAGCTCGGTCTAACCCACAGTGGACTAGTTCCTGTCGGGCCACTTGGCCATCTTGTCCCCCCATCCATGCTTCCAGGAAGAGGCTCTGTGGAGAGCAGGGTGGAGAGAAATTAGCAGAGGGAGGGGGAGTCATCGGGTAGTCCGCGGGAATGTCAGCTGTGTCGGCTTGTGTGCTTTTCAGTTTTCCCAGATTCTTTGCAGTGGGCTTGGGTCCACGTTCTCTTTTTGCTGAAACGTGGTGTTGAGATCAGTTTTGATTAAATCATTTGTTTTACATGAAAAGCAATGTACTTTCTTCCATTTTCATAGGAGTTTGGTATACAAATGGCTGGAATAGCTGAGGAGAAAATTAAAATGAGAAAATAAGTTTGGTTAACACCTGAATTGGGAGAGGGATGCAATTCCATTGTCTTTTTTTTAGGGGGAATAAGGTCTCAAGGACTGTGTGAGGAAAGAAAAGGAATCTCAGGGAAGAGTCACAGTCAGGCAAATAAGCGGACACACATGCGCTCATCGGGGGTTAAATTTCTAATTCAACTAGAGAACTGGTTCAGCATGGCAGCGAGGCTGGCACTATGTGAATTGATAACTCAATTTCGTGGGAATGAATCTGCAGAAAACAAAACAAACAAGCAACAAAAAACACAAGTCAAGCTATCTGTTGTTAGTATTTCCCTTGGTGAAATCACCCTGTGTTTAAAGTGACCTCACAGCCCCCCAAGCCTGGGGGGAGAAGATGCCTGGTCGCAGTGTCTCTCCCTGACACTGGCTAGCCAGTGTCGAGGCCATTGGCTAGACACCGCGTGTGTCCATGCACCTGCACACGCATCATTCATCAGGCCCTGCAGGAGTGGGGACAGAGCTCAGGGAGCGGGCGGGGTGGGGGAGGGGTGGTTCCAGTAGGGCTAGAACAGGGGGCTGATGGGGCACGTCCTCCCAGACTTTCTTTTTTTTTTTACATTTTCTTTTTTTTTAATTTAATTATTGTTCAAGTACAGTTTTCTGTCTTTTACTCCCACCCCAGCCCACCGCCCCCAGTGCTCCCCACTTCCCTTTCATTTCTACCCACCTTAGTTGTTGTCCCTGTGTCCATTATACTAGTTCCTGTAAATCCTTCCCTTTTTTTTCCGCCGAAATTCCCTCCCTTCTCCCCTCTGGTCACTGTCCCCTCGTTCTCTATTTTAGTGTCTTTGGTTATATTTTGCTTGCTTGTTTGTTTTGTTGTTTAGCTTCCTGTTAAAGGTGAGATCGTATGGCATTTGTCTTTCAACACCTGGCTTATTTCACTCAGCATAATGTTTTTCATTTCCACTTTCACCACTTCTATTCAATATAGTATTGGAAATTTTAGCCGTAGTGATCAGACAAGAAAAGGAAATAAAAGGCATCCAAATTGGAAAGGAGGAAACAAAACTGTCACTGTTTGCAGATGACATGATAGTGTACATGGAGACTCCCAGACTTTCTTCTGAGCTAACTCTAAATGAGGACGGTGGTTTGAGAATTCTCTGTTTGGGGGCTATTTTTCTTTTCTCATTTTAGTGTTTGGTTTTTAGAAAATGTCTTCTCTCACTTTACTGTTTTGTTTTTAGAAAATAAAAGAAGACAAAATGTAAAAATGAGGTTAAGGTGTGAAGTGATTATGGAGTAGAAGACCCCCTGCCTGGCTGAGTAACCAAGATACAAGTGTCTTAACCTCTGAAGCCCCTCCCCTCCTTCTCCATCTCTCTCTGGTCCTTCCCTCTCTCTCCGTTCTCTGCTCTGTCCTCCCTCCCCCCTCTCCCTCCTCCCTCCCCCCCTCCCTCCCCCCCCCCCCCCCCCCCCCCTCCCCCCCCCTCCCTCCTCCCCCCCCCCCCTCCCCCTCCCCCTCTCCCTCCCTCTGTCTCTCTCCACTCTTTTCCCTCTCTCCTCTCCTCTCTCTCCCTCCTCCCCCTCTCTTCTCTGTTCAAAGAAGAAATGGGAACAATCTGTGGTTCATTCAAAAACTAAACAGATCTAAACAGAAAATGCACATGAAGAACCTCCAGAAAATACACTTAAACCATACTTCTTATGATTCAATAAACTATAATATTTTATGGAAGGCTAGTTTTATATAGTATGCGAATAGTGGATTTTTTACCTCTGAGAATAGCTGTCACAACCGAAGCCCCTGGTGACCTAAAGTGCCATGCAAATGGTTCCCCCAAAGTGGCTATGTTCTGACCCCATCACCCTAGTCACACACAATGAAGCCAGTGTTGGGTACTGACATTGAGGTTAGCCAACATGCAGGCATGGATGGTTTGAAGTATGAATGGTATGGAGCTTTGTCCCAAGAGTAACAGTGACTTATCAGACCAGTCAGAAACCCCCTGGGGACACTGAACTGGAGACACACAGATGTGGATCAGTGGGTGTGGGAGCAGAAACATGGGCACTCTCAAATAGGGATGAGAGATCCAGGGCTCTGCTGCAGGGAGCAAAGAGGTAAGTGGGTGGCAAGGCTGATACCTCGCACAGTGTGTTTGCTTATAAGTGGCTCTGGACCAAAAACAAGTGTATGACTGATTTGACTGTGCAGTTTTAGAGTGTGACCTTTGAATGACAGTGAGTGATTTTTAGGTGTTTTGTTGATGCTGGGTAAATATTTGTTGATTCTGACCTTAGCACAAACTTGTAAGACAATTAGCTGGAATTAGAGTCTGAACATAGCCCACTTCAAAGCTATGACTGATTTTGTGATTCAATCTATAATCGAGCCCTTGTCAGCCTGAACTAGAATGTCTAAAGCCGTTTGATGTGCCCTGACCAGTGTGGCTCAGTTGGTTGGGCATCGTTCCGCAAAGTGAAAGGTCACCAGTCCAATTCCCAGTCAGGGTACATGCCTGAGTTGCAGGTTCTGTCTCCTGTTGGGGCACATGCAGATCGATGTTTCTCTCCCTCTCTTTCTCCCTCCCTTCCGCTCTCTCTGAAAATAAATAATTTTTTTAAAAACTGTCTAATGTAATGAGCTATTATGCAAGAGGTTATAACCTGTGAAGTTGTGTATGAAAAGGATTGATTTTTAAAACATCTTTAATGCTACCTTTTTAAAAACAGTTAACATTCATTTAAAGCCAAAATATGGTGGGAGTTATAGTTAGTATCAGTTTACAGAAAATTCAAATAAAGAAGCAAATGCTTTTCTTAATAAGGCAACATTTATTGCAAGTAGGAATTTTCTGGCATTTGGGGTAGGGGAAATAGAACAGAAAGTATATTATACTGACTATTACATGTAAAATAATAGAAGAAGATAAAGGACAATTTTATATTGTAAGGTGTGAGAAGTCGGTGGGAACAGCTGGGTTCAGAGCAGAGCGGACCCCTTTGGAGCATCATGCACTGAGTGTAGCACATCTGACAATCCAACCCTCAAACTCCATTTGCTCTGGAAACAAGGAACGAGAGGAAGGACCAAGGTGGCATTTAGGAGCCGTGGGGAGCATGTAACCTGGCCTCGAATTCTAATGCTTCTGAACTCTGCTAAGCCTAGTTTCTCTCTTCCTAAGTTACTTTTATTTTTTTTATAGGCTATAATACCTTATAGCACAGCAATCCATGATTCTTATTCTTTCATAATAATAAGCTCAGGACAGTAGAATTTTATCTTAATGCTCCTTCAATGCTCTCCATATTTTGAGAACTCATGCTTTTCAAGCAGCTTTCGCTGCTAGTTTAGAAGTTAGTGCCCAGGCTCAGTGCACCAGAGTTACCCGTCCTCAGAAATTCCAAAGCAAGAGTTACGGTGAGCGGCACCTGGACTGCCCTGCTCTGCTCTTTGTCTTTTGTTTTGGACAAATGAGTTTTGTCCAACATCTGGCAGAGTAAAATATCCATTGAATAAATGTTAAAGTTCCAAAAATGTCTCAAGAAATAAAAGCTACTAAATAGCAGGTAGCTCCCTGAGATGCCGCCTGTAAAGACACTGTCGCTCATTTGAATGCGTACCACTGTGGGATGTTCCTTTAACGAGTCTCGTTAACTTATGACGTATATGAATCTGCGTATAGATGTCGGCATGCACCAAGTTGGTGGATCCCGAAGTCAGATATGACCACTGCCCCTTCGGGGAAATGGTCTATCAGATCTGTAAATATTTGAGTAATTATCCTTGTTTCCACACTACATCATTTTGGTTGTAAGGTCAAGACTGTGTTCTTATCTTCGGGGCATTATGGGTCTCGTTACCAACTGTACCCCCTTTTCACTCTGTCCCTCTCCCAACCCCACAGTATCTCTTCTATATGCTGATCTTCCATCTCATTTTTTCTCTATTTAATGTGGCCCTGATTTACCTTTCATTTAATTTTCTTTTCCATTGTAAAATGGCACAAAACCTTTTAGGAACAAAGTGATATTAATAAAATCACAAAATTGTATGTGTGATTTGTTTAAGCTCCTAGTGATGCCTGAAAAGCGGTAGAAATTTGTGCCTCTTCACCTGTCCACCTGTTTCGCCCATTCCCCCACTCCCATCAGTGTGTTCAGTTTATTTCAAATAGTATATTATGTGTTCATTTGTTATGGATTTTGGATTTCACATACACAGTATTTGCCTTTCTCTGACTCAGTTCACTCAGTATAATGCCCTCTAGGTCCATCCATGTTATTGCAAGTGGCAAGATTTCATTTTTCAAAAAAAAAAAGATGGTGAGTCAAAAAATAAAATCAAAAAAAAACAATATATATATATAATATAAAATATCTTCTTCCTAAAACAATATTTGCCCGGTATATTTCATAATTTTTAATAAATATTTCAAAAAAATTGAGAGTTAAGTAACCCCCCAAGAAAAAAAAAATTGGGATTGGACTCAGGTCTAGCGAGTCTTCAGCCACAGGAGATTAGTGGTCGCCTTCCAATGATGCCCCGGAGGTCCTGATCTTGTTAGTGGTCCTCCAGGGCCCACACCTTTGCCCACTCCTTGGCAGGAAACAGCATTCTGGAAACCAAAAAGCTACCCATTCCATCCTTTTAGTGACTAATTCCACCCTTTGGCTCAGATCAGCATGGCGATGTCCTTTACTGTATTTTCTAAGGTACAGCAGAGCTAGCCCGTTCCTGGTGCCACTCTAATGAAGGGAGAAAATTATTTTTTCATCATAGTGAATTATTTCATTCTTGCGAGGCAGAGCAAAAGAAAGACAGCAGAAAAGGAAACATGAAATCTCATTTCATGGGTAAAGAAAACAATGATTTCAAATAGTATATTATTGTGCTTAAGTGAATGTGCCTGTGCATAATGAAAATGTAGAATGTGATTAAAACATTTGAAATATATCCACAGAAATTACATCTACACGTGCTGTTCCCGTATGTTCTCTACCATCCTCTGTCGAGCCACTGGCTTATTATACCAACATATTCCTCCTTTTAAAGAAAAATAAGTAGAACGAAAGAGAGCGGCGCAGCAGCAAGAAGAGAAAAAATAGAACAACGCGTTGGTAAAGGAAACTGCAGTCTACCCAGTGCCTCCCCACCTTCATTACCATCCTTCCAAATAAATCTCCCCACTCCTCTTGGGCTGACAAATAAAAAAATCAAGCCACAAGATGTATGTGCGCGCTTCTCCTGATGAGCATCGCCATCCATCTGCGGTGCGTCCCACGTGCCAGCGCGGGGACGGGCTGGAGGCAGAATTAAAGACTTCGGGATGTCCGCCGCTTAATCAAGAAGGCTTTTCTCTTCCCGCTTGCACAGCTTTCATCTCTGTCTCGGGTGATTTTCTCCCCGTCTCCTTCACTCGGTGGCAAACATGCTGATGGCTGATGGGACAATAACTGATCATAGACCTAACCTTCCAGGGCAACCAATTGGTTTCAAATGGATGACATGAGGGCTCTCGATAAGTTTCTTTTTGGTGAGGACTGTTAGTCCCAGTATATCCACAGCTACACATTAGAATCCTGACTTCTGGGATTTTGGAAAATGATGTCCAATTTCATTTTTTTTATTTCAAATTAAAAGTATCTTTTAATGGGCATACACAGGGAGTGGACACGGCTTCAAATTGGGGTGAAATTTTCAGTGGAAATGTTAAATATATTTATCTGAAATAAGTAGATATTTTTCTTCATTTTTATTTCAATACATAGCACCCTACTCTGGAAGGTGATGATTTTCATTGTTCAAGGTTTGGTGGCGTGTTGTAAGACGCCCAAGCAATCATTTATCCTGACTTCCCACACCTGCTGGAAACTGTTCTAGGATATCCATACACTGGCTTGGGCCCTTCTAAGTCTTGAGGATAACTCTCCCTCTCAAGAGAATATATTCCATTTGGGGGTTTTCTAATTATTTAAAAGTTCTTCCTTTTATGGACTTCATGATTTCACTTACTGGTACAAATTTGGTGCCTCAGAATAAGTTAATTCCCTTTCCCATAAGAGCATTCTTCAAGCATTGGACTAAGATACCATGGCTCACCTGAGATGTTTCTTCCTCTGTTAAATATCCTTCAGTTCCTGACCTTCATCATCTACCTGTGTCTACCACTCTCTCTCTCTCCACAGCAGACATTACTAATCACCATCCCCATTTCTCCTGACCTGAGCTTAGAATCCCTCTCTTCGGGCTCTCCATGCAGCTACCCTGCCACCTGAACTGAATTGTGATTTGAAACACACTTACCGTCCTTGATATTTCGGATTCAATATGATAAAGCTCGGTGGTAATGGGGAATGGATTTAAGCTCTTTAGTAATCTGAGCAGGCTTCAGCTTGGGGCCTGGTCCAAGGTTGACGTCAGTGTTTCCTGTGCTTCAAATTAAATTAAGGAATTATATAGGGTGCCAACTCCAACCTTGACCGTGCAGATTTCATTAAAAAGAACTGTTTCTGAGCAGATCCTTGGGACCAAAATACCCATATCTGGCAAGACCCTCAGTGCTAGATTACTAAGAGAATAGGCAATAAAAGTGAACGACTGGATGATATCTGTAAATAGTATGTCGGAACTCTGATTTGGCTTAGTTTAAGAAATGATTAATTGGCTTTTTATTCAAGTTCACCTATTTCATGACTTGTTGGACAGCAAAAGATACCTAAAGCTCCTGGCAGGTTTCATTTAGGAGCGTTCTCTCCTTGTAAAAGACTTATGGGAGATTTTAGAAGAAAATAGTGCTTAGAAGCTCAATTTCCTTTTACGCCCCTCGTCCTCTTCTGCACAGAGAGCTGGAGAGTGTCCCGTCTTTGTTGAATGAGACCATGTGCGCTCGAGTCCCAACTTCACGGGGGCCACCCGCAGCCCATACTTCTCCATCTGCCTACAGCAGGAAACCACTGAGATTTACATATGAATAATCATCTGTACAATTTTGTGGCTTTGCCTGCAAGTTTTCGTAAAGTAGCTAGTGCCCATCTGAGGTAAGTAAAGTATCAAACTTGTTAGGTCTGATTACTTTTTAATAGTTATGTTGCTTTCTGATGATACAGAACACTTTAATTTCTTCCCACTTGACCTATATAGTTTATATATGTGGGTGGCACAGATTAAATCAACATCAGATATCTCTGCTTGTGGCTAGAGTTTAATGTAATAACAGTCTACTTAGAATCGCAGCCCAAATGCCTTTGTTTAATAAGAATGGGAAAACTATTACTTAAATGAATCTTTTGGTGAAAATAATTTAAAAAATGGATGCTATGGAAGTGGTTGGGTGGAAATAGAAGACCTTGGGAGGTGGTGAAAAGGGTAAGAATTCCAGAGAAAGAGACTGGTTGACTTAGAGAATTTTGGTACCTTGTAAATCTTGGACAAGGGCCTGGTTTTGGAGGAATGTGATTTGGTCTGAGATCTATTTACTTAAAGTAACTGTGTGATATTTAAGTAAAAGGCTCTTGTAGAATGTGAAATTAAGAAGCTGTAGTTGTGGTGAAAAGTCAGGACAAAAAATAGAAATGCAGGCATCAATCAGGATGTAGGTGTTATCTGTCTGAATCAATGACATGATTAGTTCACTGGAGTGGTTACAAGTGAACAGAGAGTCTGCGAATTCAGCATCAGAGGAGATGATGCAAAGGGAGAGGAAGTAGGATAAGAGCAGAAATGGTTTTGACTGTCACAGAAGCTTAAGGAAGAGGTAGTTCAAAGAAGCAATGGTCATCAGCTCCAAATGCTGCCCAGGACAGTGATGTCAAATAGTTAGAAAAACTTCAGTTGAACCAATTGTCCTTATTTCTATTTCTCATAGCTGCTCTGGCTTTCATTTAGTAACCAAAATATTCTCACTGGTGTTTGTAATGTGCTGTTCTTCGTGGTGACAGTTCTACCAGACCACCTCCACTGGGACATGAACTCAGAGGTACTTTTTGCTGAATAAATGTGATGGGTTGCATCATCTCTAGCTCCTGTTGGTTGGCATCTTTTAGCTACTTAGCTACAGATAGGACAGAGTTCTGGCTACAGAATGAAGTCTATTCCTGTGCACCACTAAACTGGATGTATAACAGTAAAGTGTATGACTTTCGGATCATTGATAGATATACCACCATCAGCTGAGCTAACTAGTCCAGACGTTCGGTTCACATTGCATTATATATTATCTGATTGATTCAACACTTAGATAAAAAGGTTATTTCATATGAATAAATACAGGTATGGGCAGAAAGAATGTAGTTTCTTTTAACAGTTGGTTGCTACCAAAGAGGAAGAAAAGGAAAGCAAATATGTGAGACATGAGTTCTTCCAAGTGTCCAGGCAAAACTTTTGTTTGTTGCTTATGATCCATCTCATGGAAATTGTGGTTGTGTCTGAAACAAAAGGCCCAATAAACTCATTTCACTTTTCTACCTACCATCTTGGCTCTTCAGTCTTGCACTTGACTTTCTGCTCGTCACACAGAGATCAGCTCAACTCCCTGAAACAGATGGTGTTCCCGTTACTGTCAACTTATCCTCTGCAGTTCTGCAGTTGGCAAGGCCAGATGGATTAACATCCTGAAATGAAACTTTTCACCAAATTCTTATAAGTAAACAGACGTTTTATTAATATGGACTTCCAGACATGGAACAATACACCGAGATGACTGATTAGAGAATCTAATTAAAGGCAACAGTGTGGAAGAATTGAAAAGCAGCGGGTTTAGTCTGAAAATAAGCAATACGTTTCTATCTCACGCTCTTTGAGTTACAAAACTGAACCAAGAATATATTGCAGAGTGGCTGGCCAAATGAAGATCCATTGCTCATGACTTGCATTTTTCCTCAGACATCTTGATAAATGCAACAAAAATAATTTATAACCTATTGGGTCTTAGAAGCATTTTGTACTTTGAGAAAGAAAGTTGAGGTGCCACTCAAATTCCTAACTTCTCTTATGTCCATTGATGTTCTTTCACCCAAAATGCACTTAACCAAAACAAATCTAACAATGTGGCTTTTTTTGTAAGAATCTGAGGTGTTCATTGAGGGGCTTTCCCTAAAGGAATTAGGAAGGAACTATGTCATCCCTATACAGTAAACTGTAAAACCAACACAAATATAGAGAAATATTCAAGGCTACAGGTGGGCCCCAGCTTGGTCATTTAAGTCACAATTTAAATATTATTTTATCATAGAGACCTTCCCTGATCACCAAACCTAATATCTCTGCCCCTGAAGCAACAAATAATTCAATCCTGTTTTTTTTTTCCTTCATAGTTCTTCCTACTACCTGATTCATTTGTTTAGTGAATATCTTCTCCCCAGAAAGTGTGCTTCGTAAGAACCAAGATGTATCACTAATGGAGTCTCAGCACCTCAAACAATAGCTGGCACACAGTGGGAACTCATAAATACTGATTGAATGAATGAATGAATACAGTGGAGATAGATGATTTCTTGGCCAGTATGACTTCCCTATAATGAGGTTTAGTGGATTCATGTATCTGAAAGAAGGTCAATCATAGATTAATTAGGTTTAGATGAACACAGGACTCAGAGGCAAAGGCTTACGGTAAGTGCCCATCCGGGAACTATCCAGAAGAGGGATCACTTAGTCACCATACCTCTAATGCTCTTACTATGAATGATAGGAACCAAGTAGACTTTGCTTTGGCTCTTAGACCTCTATCTCTCCATCTTCCCTCCCTCAGGTTCCTGCTTCCTCCTCCTTTCCTCCCCTTCCTCCCAGGCAACACTCAAAAAATAGAACCTGATTTCCTGGGATTTGTGTGACTCTGCCACTTATAAGGGAATCTTGGGCAAGTGACTCAATCTCTCTGGTCTACTTTACACAAACACAAAATGAGGATGATAATAGCCCTTAGGTATATTTTCAATACTGAATGAGCAATTACGTCGAAATCATTTAGATAAGTGCCTGAGATGTTGTAAGCACTCAGTAAATGCTACCTATTATCATTACTTTATCTTCTGCTAATTTCTGCTTTGGGCTTATACTAGAACTAGAAAATTTCTATACTAGGAATTTTCTGCAGTTGAGCCTGTTGTTCCCTAGACCAGTCTGCGATTGAGTTATCCATTGTTCCCTATCTTGTAT